CCCCTTCCCACACCACCACAAGGGAAGGTATATAAGGACTGCCCCCACACATCGGAGCTCAGAATCGGAGCTCATAGCCCTGAAGATGCAGACTGCAATGTTTGCGAAACGTCGGCGCAATGCTGAACCTCAACGCGGCATCCATCCGGAACCCAACCAAGTCAATTACTGGTCATTATTGTTCCGTGATAATTGACATTGCTCTCGATATTACGATCGTCAATCCAAGATTATTTTCTTTCAATTTAGATTCTCTATTACCGGTCAATAAATTATATTCTATATTCCCTGCGTTGGTGGTTCTCAACTGGAGTATATTGCCATTAAAAAAGTATTAATATTAGTGACGTTATTGTAATTATTGATGCTGTCTTCGTGAATATCGAACTTGATTGTATCCTTGGTTTGGATTTCATTTCAGTTTTTGGACTTTTGCATGAAATTCAAAGTGGAATTAATCGAAAATTTGATCTTCATGCTCCGGAAAAGATTCTCAATCATCGATCAAGTCATCGATCACTCAATTCATCGATCCAGTACTCACAAGGACATTTTAATCATTATTCCAGAATATTCATCAAAATTATTTGATTTATAAATCAAATTATTGCATCAAGATGAAATTATGTTAATTCATTTTCAAATTTCCCAATTGTTTCGCAAAAAAATTATAAAGATCTGGGTAAATATTCCGAAATTAAACATAAAATCAACACAGGGAGTTCCGAACCAATAAAACTGGGTCCTAGACGTATTCCCTTTCACTATCGTGACAGAGCCTTCGCGGGTCTGCAAGAAATGAAACTGGTGGACATTAATGAGACAAGCTTCGGTTCATGGTGTTCCCCTATGGTGTTACAAGGAACACTAGGGAGGTGTTCCCCTGCGATTTTAATCATATATGTTGTAGAGGACTCAAAACTAAAGGACACCTATTTTTTTTTATCGGCTAATACGCGGCTTTAGGGGGGGAAACCATAGTCAGAAAGTCACCACCTTCGGGGGTGATTTTTCAATCCCACCTATAAGGAGGGTGTTTTTACAAATGTTCATCACGGTAATGAATAGCTTGTGAAAAGTTATAAAAATCACAATTGATAGTTCCTTCGGGGTTTGAAATTGGGGGGGTAAACTACTCCGTAAAAATTTTGTTAAAAAAAAAAAATATGGCTCATAATTTAATATAACCAATTGCATTTGAAAGAGCCTGGAAAAATGCAGAATACCTGTTTTTGGATTTTCCCCGGAACTGAAGTTTTCTGGAGTGAAAAAAATAATTTCTCGGAAATATCACCCATTACAGTGGTGAAGTTTATTATCCATTTCATCAAGGTAATATATAGCTGGTGAGAAATTATGAAAGTCATAATTGATAATTTATCCGGGGGTTGAAATTTGAGGGCTAAACTACCCCTATAAAAATTTCGATTTTCAAAAAAAACACTATGGCTCAGAATTTTACAAAGCCATTTGCGTTTGAAAGAACATGGAAAAATGCAGAATACGTGTTTTTTTATTTTCGTCAGTACTAATATTTTCTGGGATAAAAGAAATGATTTCTTGGA